CCGAAGGAATTCGGATTTCATAATGAGACGTCATAACTCTTCTAGATGAAGACCTAACTCCCAGAGCAGGGTTTAAATGGTTTGAATTATGTTTTCTTGTTAGCGTTTTTTGGCAAGTTAGATTTTCCGGGATGGGGTCGCCAACCACAATCCCAAACCTCCTCTTTTTTCCGGGCTTGGGACCGGCAGTAGCCCCGAAGTGTCTACAGGCGGCAGCATCGCTGCAGATGTTGGTTGTCCGAGGGAAACACTTTACTGCTGTCACACCCTTCAACAATCAGAAGTACGACTTCGCCCTCAGACCTTGAGTTGCTGCCCTTTCTACAATCGACCTACCGGGCGTGGTAGAACCTAAAGAAACATATGTTCCAGCCAGTATAGCTCGGTAAGTTTATCATAGGCAAGTCCGATCACCTTATCAAGGGAGCAGATACGGTCAGGAGAGCTTGTTAAGAGTAAACTCGAGAAAACCAGGTTGCTTTGAAACTGGATGTGCGTGTATAAACTAAGCCTGCTCAGTACAGCAGCTTCTGCAACATGAATATACCTTCCGACGACCGACAAACAGTATTGATTGGGTCAAAAAGGTGTCACGAAGTTCTATGGTGGTGCCTCTAGTTGAACGCCGTACAAAATCAGTACATTAACCTTATTCAGGCTCTCTGTTCGAATACTACTGGTTGAATCAGAGCTTATGGCGAACTGTCATCGACATTGGTCACTTCAAGTGATGTCAATCAGGACTATCCAATTTCTTCATTCGTACTTAACTTTTTCATTGACACGCTTTTAGAGACAACACTTTTATCGTCTGACATTTCAGGAATTGAACTTCCGCAAATAAGTTCACTGGTTGACTCAGAGCATGCAGATGACATTATTCTGCTTGGCAAAGACACCGACAAAATAGTCTTTTGAACACCTTAAGCAATAACACTAGCATGTTTGGGACGCGATTCGCTTCTTCCACATACGAAATATCACTCCAGGATTGGCTTGCGTCAGCACCTAAACTGGTGATAGGGAGTGAAGTAGTTGAACGTGTTGACGCCCCACTTATCTCGGGAGTCTCATCAGTGCTGATGACCTGGTGTGTGACGAAATATCAGAACGGACAGAGAGGGCTCGATTGGCTTTGGCCATCTTGCATCACTTATGATTTAGGAGAGATATCTGTTTGCTGACTAAAGGACGAGTGTACTGCGCAGTAGTTCGCTCCGTCTTACTTTATGGCTGTGAAACATGGCCAGTGAGAGAAGAAGATATTAGCAGGTTATTCGTTTTCGATCACGAGTGTCTTCCAAGCACTGCTCGAACTTCCTAGGACCATGGAGTAAGCTATACGACTGTTGGTAAACGAGTACTTGGTAAGGATGGCAGGTAAATAGATTAAGTAGTGAAACTCCATCAGTTGAGGTGGTTGGAACATGTGTGACGAATTCTCAACCACCGACTGCCTCGACGAGCGATGTTTTGTGGTGTAGGAGTAGTCAGTCAGTCAGTCAGATGCAACGTAGAACTTCGTACGTAAGTACATCAGTTCATGTCGCCATACCACATCAGCACAGAGATATAATTGTCAATTCAAATCCAATAGTAGAAGAGGTAGTAAAGGTATTAGAAGTAATCGGAGAGGTTAGAATTAGAAGATATTATTCACGAAGTATGATTCAATGAGATAAGTTTAGAAAGTCAAAACTAGAGGTGTTGAAGAATCCAGAAGATTAGGATTTGAGAGAACACAAAGAATAAATGCACTGGCGCCATTGCGAACGATTTTGAGCCATGTCATTCAAGGTCTCTAGCCATCGATTATTATCATCTCGCGGACCCCAACCAGGTAGTCGACAATTACCGACATGGCTCAGTCCACTCGTCAATGACTTCATGGATTTATGCCATGTTTTGGTCTGGCCGCCCCTAGCTTTCTTCCAACCTATTCCTACACTACAAAACAAAGCTCGACGAGGCAGTCGGTGGTTAGGCATACGCAACACGTGTCCCAACCACCTCAACTGATGAAGTTTCACCACTTCATCGATTGATCTGCCATTCTTACTTAGTACCCGATTCCTAATAACAGCGTTGCTCACTCGGGTGTCCCACGATATACGAGCAATGCTTCGAAGACACCTATGATCGAAAACCAATAACCGACGAGTATCTTCTACTCTCATTGGCCATGTTTCACAGCCATAAAGTAAGACGGAGCGAACCACTGCGCAGTACACTCGTCCTTTAGTCAGCAAACGGATATCACGCCTACGCCATAAGTGACGCAGGTTGGCAAAAGCCAATCGAGCCTTCTGTATCCGTGCCGAGATTTCGTCACTCACCAGGCCATCAGCACTGATGAGACTCCCCATATAAGTGAAACGGTCTACACGTTCAACTACTTCACTCCCTATCACTAGTTCAGGTGCTGATGAAAGCCATTCTTGAAGCAACATTTTGCATTTCGAGGGGGAAAAACGCATCCCGAACATTATTGCATTGTTGCTTAGGGTGGTCAAAAGACTCTGCATTTTGTCAGCGTCTTCACCAAGTAGGACTATGTCATCGGCATATTCTAAGTCAATAAGCGTGCCACCCGGTAAAAGGTCTACTCCAGAAAATTCAGACGACGATAAGGTTATTTCTAGGAGCATGTCTATGATAAAATTAAACAAGAATGGAGAGAGTGGACATCCCTGACGGACACGAACTGAAGTAGAGAATTCCGGTGACAGTTCGCCATAAGCTCTCACCCGACCAGTGGTGTTTGAGTAGAGAGCTTGTATAAGGTTAATGTACTTATTTGGTACAACTTTCAATGACAGACACTGCCACAGAACCTTACGATCAACTGAGTCAAATGCCGCCTTAAGGTCCACGAAAACAACTATTGTAGGACGCCTAAATGTGTGTCTGTGTTCCACGACCTGTCGTAGTGTGAAAATGTGGTCTATACAGCCACGTCCAGGTCGAAAACCAGCCTGGTTTTCTCGAGTCTGCTCTTCACGAGCTTTCGTTAAGCGTCGAAGTATTACTGAGTAAATCAGGTTTTACTATTTTCATGAAAGAGATGCTGAAATTGTTGAGATTCATCAAACTTGAGTCCATCTTTGTTGGACCATCATAAGAAACCTGGAATCACAGGACAGCGGACTCTTTCTAGTATGACACTCATCAAACGTTACGCATCTACGCCACCGGCACGTGAAAATCGAAAAAACAACCTTTGGTTGCACTAATCTACATAACCCTATGGTATAAAATACCACGTAATCACTCTAGGTATTTTGTGACTAGTTCCTTGTATGTTTTGTAGTAAGCATTGTTTCCGTTGTTATTGTCCTAAATTTTATATATTTATCCGTACTCATGTAGCTGAACAAAATTATAATTATTAACAAATTCTAAATCATGATAAATTCCATGACTGCGACAATTTGTTTGATAACTTGTTTCTCATTGCTAATCTTGACACAGTATGTGGCAATCGCCATACTTGACCGAGATCAGTTTCTTGCGTCTGATACCACTGACGAACTTAAGGGAACCGACCAACCCACTGGAAATTATTTCGTCGTAGACTTTCCTTCCCAACCGAATTGTATTTAACGAAAATTACAGAGTTACTCAGTAAAATCGGAAAACCATATCGTAAATTGTTCATTTGCAAAAGATCAGTTCATCCTATGGAACTGGACTGTTCCTGTTGCCAAACATCAATCCATTGTCACTATTCATGCGTTTCATACAAAATCCATTGTTTTCTAACTCTTCCTTTCTTGATCTTCCCCCCATATTATGCTACCAGACTTTACGTTGACACTCACGTTATATACTACTTATAAGTAGTTCGCACCACAGCACCACACTCGTCCCCCCTTTAACAAGTCGCTCTCAGCCTTTCTGATTGCCGTACAGCCGTCTTCTTTATCAGTGTTTGTGGCTCGCCCTCTTGGCGCACTTGGAACCACCTTTGGATTTAACTGGCATTCACGCGTTTCTGTTTGTTTCCTTTCTGGATCGTATACACTGCGCCGCGTCTCTCGGTGACGACGTACGGTCCCTCCCACTTCGGGATCAGCTTACCTGACCCTGGCCCTCTTCCTGTGGTATATTTCCGTTCTCTACACTTCACCTGGAGTAAGTTGTGAGAAAACCAGGAGTGGCCAAACCAAAGCATGGAACAAATCAAAGTTTTACTTCGCGATCGAGACTAAGGAATGCTTATGAATATAAGGATTATATGTTCTGTCAAAAGGATTTAGATAACACCACCGATTACCCTGTATACAATGATATCAGTTAATTTCGCAGTCATCCATTAGAAAATCTTAACCGTCTAGGATTTAATAACAAATTCAGGAAAACAAAGTAGAAATAACGGGACGTAAAGTGAAAGAATATGCATGAGTTATTGCAGTACCAATGAGAGAACTATAGATCGCTTGGTTTTAGTTCTGATAACTGACTCACACGAGAGTTTACAGACCAATATGAAATCAAAGACGGTGGTGAAGACTTATTCAGATATAACGCTATCTAATTTGAATAACTTAAATACTTCTTAGTTTCATTCAAATTAACCTGCGACAATCTGAGTGTCTGAAAAATATTCTAGACAACCAAATAGTAAACACACAACCAAACTGCTGACAACAATGCTTGCAGAATACTAAAACCAACAAAGATTACGAGCTCCGAATAAGTAACAATTTAAGAGAAACCTGAACATGCCAACACTCAAAAAATGTAGGTTAACATAAGGAGGAAATCAAGAATATGGGGGGCGTCAAATCCCTCCCGCCGAAAATTGCCCTATGTACACTCGTAAAATCCCCGCGACTCAATCGATTTCGTTAGCATTTTAGCCTACACCGCGCCACTTAATTTAGCCAATCAAGAATCTATTGGTATGTGAAAACTTTTCAAAAGACTAAATATGGGTAAAATTACTAGTTCCAACGAGACAGATAGATCTTTTACTTCAAGCAGTAGAGCGAACTTACAACACAAATAAGAACTTTAAGTTCTGGCCAATGCGACGCAGGAAACAGTTGCTGTACAGATGATTGGCAAGTGCAGTCATCATAATTGCTGGACCACAGCACAAACCCTCCTAATAAACTCCGACATGACGATCCAGAACCACGCCGAGAAAGAGAAGTGTAATCATCATCCAAACAATACATTTTACCCAATGCATATGCTAAACGTATGAAAATATAGAGTAAACATACCGAATGCTGAAGCTCCAGAAGCACTAGATGCGAGTCCTGCTGATGTCGGAAAATTGTTTTCAGACTCCACACCGAGAAAAGGTGGATGGTCCCACTTTCCGCCTAGTCTAGAACGCAACTGTGCTGATTTATTAAATAAACCAGTGTATACTGTATGAACACACCAACTATTAATACATCAAGAAGCCTAGACGGAAATTGCGTAATCCTACAAATGTTTACGAATAACCCTTATGACTCACCTTCCGTTAAGTTTGAACAGTGAATCCTCGAGCTTTGTTTTCGCAAATATCGAAGTTTTTGTTCCGACCTGTAAGTTTTTCATAATAATTAACTAATTAACATACATGTGTCTGATTCAAAGTCAGACTTATCGAGGAGGTCGAAGGGAATATATTCAAATAATCGCTTTTACCCCCTACAAGTACTATCAGTGATCGTGAAATGCTACGTACAATATTTGACTAAAGCTATGTTAATCGGGCTTGTGACCACGACTTGCATTAGCGTCAAGTTGCGTTACCTTTGAAAGCAACGCTTGAGCAACCAATACCATATAAAAATTTAATGTTCAACATTTGCTAACTTTTCCACGGGCTAGAACAAACCAGTTGATTTATTTCCACTCGATTTATTTCAGCACGCTTCTAGGTTTTTGGTAGAGTCCAACCAATAGGGGTCTAGTCACGCGACTTCACTAATTCCAGTCAGCTGGCAGTAATCGTTAAGTTGCGTTTGCCTTTGCTGCATTCCCTATGTAGTTCGAATTAGTGTCCAAGCTTTCTGTGGTTAGAAACCGAGATCGCGCTCTGAGGAAATATGAGAGAGCGGGCTTCCATTGAGGGCGCAAGTTGTTTGTTTCACGTGGGGCAGAATGTTCATAACGAAACATTTCAACTGGTTTAGTTTTATCCCATCTTTCACTACCCATTCCTCAATATACTTAAGGTCATCTTGAAGCTCAGTTGAATCCCCTTCGCTGCTTATGGACGTCCAGAGCTTTGCATTGTCTGCGTTGATCAACTTGCTGAGTTAATTTTGTCTAACAGATCGTTAATGAATATTAGGAAAAGGAGTGGACTTAAGATGGTCCCCTGTGAAACACCTGGTGTTGAGACCAACCAACTCGCGCACACTCCATTTACCCTGGTGCGAAACCTTGTGTTCTCAAGGTAGTTACTGAATCAATATAGAAGTGAACCAGTGAAGCCCGTATTCGAAAACTTCGAAATTAGGTTTACGTAGAGTACTGTGCCGAAAGCTCTTGCGAAGTCAAGAAATCTTATGTGTACCGATATTTTTCGGTCACTCATCTTTTTCAGCTGTCTCATCCCATGAGAAAATCGGATGTACACGTGACCTGCCTTTCCAAAACCCTTGTTGAGCCTCACGGAAGATCTTGTTCTTATCTATGTACTCCCTCACTTTCTAGTTAACAAGTTCTTCCATGACCATCGACAGTACTGATAATAATGCGACTGGTCCGTAACGGACTGGATCACTTCAATCTCCTTGTTTAAAGATCACACTACGGCAGGTCCTGGAACACAGACACACATTTAGGCGTCCTACAATAGTTGTGTTCCCGGACCTTAAGGCGGCGATTGACTCAGTGGATCGTGAGGTTCTGATGCTGTGTCTGTCATTGAAAGGTGTTCCAAATAAGTAGATTAACCTTATACAAGCTTTCTACTCGAACACCACTGGTCGAGTGAGAGCTTATGGCGAACTGTGATCGGAATTTTTTACTTCAGTTCGTGTCCGTCAGCGTTGTTCACTCTCTCCATTCTTGTTTAATTTTGTCATAGACATGCTGCTAGATATCATTATTCTCCTCACATTTTTCAGGGGTGGAGCTTACACCAGGAGGATCACTAATTGACCTAGAATATGCCGATGACATAGTTCTATTCGCTGCAGACGCTGACAAAATGCAGTATTCTGACTACCATAAGCAACAATGATAGCATGTTCAGTATGCGTTTCTATCCATCGAAGTGCAAAATGTTGCTTCAGGATTGGATTGCATCGGCACCTGAACTAGTGATAGGAAATGAAATATTCGAGCGTGTTGATCACTTCACATATCTGGGGAGTCTCATCAGTGCTGATGGTCAGGTGACTGACGAAATCTCAGTCAGATGGCTCGATAGGCTTTTGCCAAACTGCGTCACTTATGGTGTAGGCGTGATATGCGTTCGCTAACCAAATGACGGGTGTAATGAGCAACAGTACGGATTCGAAACGTGGCCGTTAAGAGTAGAGAATTCTCGTAGGCTACTAGTATTCGATCATAGATGTCTTGGAAGCATTGCTCGTATATCGTGGGACAACCGTGTAAGCAATGCTCTTGTTGGGAAACGAGTTCTAGGTAGGGATGGCAGATCGATTGACGAAGTAATGAAACTTCATCAGTTGAGGTGGTTGAGACATGTGTTACGTATGCCTAACCACCGACTGCCTTGACGAGCTATGTTTTGTGGTGTAGTAGTAGGTTGGAAGAAATCTAGCGGCGGCCAGACCAAAACATGGCACAAAAGCATGAAGTCACTGACAAATGCACAGAGTGATGTTGGTAGATGTAGACTACCTGGTTGGGGTCCGCGAGACGAAAGTCGCAAGTGCATTCATTTTTTGAGCTCCCTCAAATCCTAATCTTCTGGATTCGTCAGCATCTCTATCTTTGTCTTTTTAACAATATCTTACTGAATTATACTTCTTGAATAATATCTTTAAACCGTAGTCTTCTTCATTACCAATAATACCCCTACTATCTTTATCACTGTGAGGTTTGATTTGACATTTGCGTCTCTGTGCTCATGTTGTATGTCAACATGAATTTATGTACATACATACGAAGTTCTTACGTTGCGACTGACTGACAGACTTAAGCAGCACACAATTGTACAGCATTGTTTCCGTTTGGGAAATCATCAGGTTTTACTATTTTCATGAAAGAGATGCTGAAATTGTTGAGATTCATCAAACTTGAGTCTATCTTTGTTGGACCATCATAAGAAACCTGGAATCACAGGACAGCGGACTCTTTCTAGTATGACACTCATCAAACGTTACGCATCTACGCCACCGGCACGTGAAAATCGAAAAAACAACCTTTGGTTGCACTAATCTACATAACCCTATGGTATAAAATACCACGTAATCACTCTAGGTATTTTGTGACTAGTTCCTTGTATGTTTTGTAGTAAGCATTGTTTCCGTTGTTATTGTCCTAAATTTTATATATTTATCCGTACTCATGTAGCTGAACAAAATTATAATTATTAACAAATTCTAAATCATGATAAATTCCATGACTGCGACAATTTGTTTGATAACTTGTTTCTCATTGCTAATCTTGACACAGTATGTGGCAATCGCCATACTTGACCGAGATCAGTTTCTTGCGTCTGATACCACTGACGAACTTAAGGGAACCGACCAACCCACTGGAAATTATTTCGTCGTAGACTTTCCTTCCCAATTAGTATTCATTCTTTGCATGTCTGTGGCTGATTCGTGGAGTTATTTGTTCTTCGGTATTCCTCTTTCCCTGTGAACCTGAGAATCCCAAGTCAGGGCTTGCCTTGTGACGCAGTTGTGTGGTTTCCGCAATGTGTCCTATCCGCCTCCAGCACTTTTTCCTGATTTCTTCGCCAGCTGAAATCTGGTTTGTTCTTCGCCACAGTAGGTTGTTGCTGATAGTATCTGGTTAACGGATCCAGAGTATCTTGCGTAGATAACTCTTAGTGAACACCTGTATCTTGTGGATGATGGCTTTGGTAGTCCCTCAAGTTTCCTCACGGTACAACATGATTGTCTTGACGTCCGTATTGAAAGTTGTGACTTTGGTGTTGTTTGATAGTTGTTTTGAGTTGCAGATGCTCTTCGATTGTAGAAATTCTGCCCTTGATTTTCCAGTCTGTGGCTTTACATCTTCCTCGGGTCCACCTCGTATCAATGGTGCTGCCCAGGTAAGTAACGGCTTCCACATCTTCTCTATCAAGTGTGATTTAGTTGGTGCATGATGTGTTGCATCAGAGGATCCTGTTATTTCCCTTGTATATGTTGAGACCTACTGCTATTGAGGCTGTTACCACACTCTTTGTCTTCTACATCTTTTGTTCTGTGTAGAATGGAAGAGCTAGGTCATCTGCGAAGTCTAAACCGTGCAGCCGTATCCGAGCTGTCCACTATATTCCCTACCTCCCCTCAGATATTGGAGTCTCTATATTCCGGTCGACGGTCAGGAGAAGTTTAATCCATCACGACAATTCCGTATGATAGTGACTGTCTTCTCAGGCACACCAGTTTCGAATAAGCTTCCATAGTGTCACCCTGTTTGTGCTGTTGAATGCTTTCTCTCAGTCGATGAAGTTGTTGTAGAATGGTGAATTCCATTCAATTGATCGTTCCACAACCATCCATAGTGTCGCAATTTAGTCGGTAAACTATCGATCCCTAGAAAATCCAACCTGCTGATCTGGGAGTTAGGCGTCTACGAAGTCCTTCATTCTGTTTAACGACACCCTGTTGAGGACTTTGCCTGGTGTTGAGAAAAGAGTGATGCCTCTGTGGTTCTCACACTTGGTGAGATCGCCTTTCTTTGGTATTTTGATCAGGTATCCTTCGTTCCACTCTGTCAGTACTTGTTCTTCATCCCGATTCTCGCTGTAACTCTGCCTGTTATTTTCGTCTTCTTTAGAACATCTTACCACGTTGTAGATTTTCTGAAGCTTGATTATTTTATTTGATCTATCCTTTCTACCCTAGCAGGATAAATTTTTAGATCTCGTGTTACTAGCTTTAGAATCTGCCGCGAAATGGTCATCATACTTAGTTTTCAACATCTTCCGGATAATTTCAAATAACAGTAGAAAGTTTTAAACTATTAACCCCTATTATAAACTTAAGTAAGACAATGAAAATAAGTTGCTCTAAATTATATTGTGTGCAGTAAAATCCACCAGGTTATGTTCAAATGTAAGCGTTTTGTTGTTTTTCAAACTTCACTTTATGACATTGGAACTGTAGGATCCAAACTGAGGTTTGGACTGGTGAATAACTGTCTAGCTAGTTTAGAGACGCGTCTTGACCCAGTTTAGATCCGAAGCAAGTGACTTGAGTAAATAACGGTTCTAATATCCAATATCCAATATCTTTTTCACGAGCTAGTGTAAACCAATTTGATTTCTTCGCGCTCGATTCTTGTTCTTTCGGTACGGTTCCAGGTTAAATATAAATATAAATTCACATCATTACCTAAACAAATATTACCACTTGGTTATTCCACCAGTAATTGTACAATTGTTCAAATAAATGATATTCTATCCCTCCCAGAAAGATCAGATTCGTTCGACAGATTATATTTGGTTGCTTTATAAGACAGTGTTTCCTATTTTGGAAGATTGCTTCAATTCACAATCAAGACGCACACTTGGAGTAATTCATCTGTTAATCTTTTTGCAATCTTTTGAACGTTTATTATTTTGAAGGTGTTGAAG